AGAAGGTGGGCCTGGCCTACTTGGCAGGCTCTAAGCCCATGGGTGCACTCCAGCCCCACCCCGATGACCAGCCCAGCCCTTAAGTCAGCAGCGTCACCGGTGGGGCCGGGGGCGGAGAGGGTGTTTAGTTGGGAGGGATGGCTGTTGGCCGACAGGTTCCTGTCGCACTCTCGGGTGCCTGGACCATCCCAAGGGGTGAGAGTCTCTTGCTTTCTCAGCTCCAGGAGTCCAGTGGGCAAGGGATGGACTTGTGTTTTCTCTCGGTCGCAGACATGCAGAGCGGGTAGGGATGTGGTCCGAGTCCCAGCACTGCCCCGACTGGCTGTGTGTCCTGAGCTTCCATTTCCTCATCTGCGGAGGGGTGGTTGCCTCTTTGTAGGGCTGTAGTGAGGGTCAAAGGAGTGATGATGTTCAGTGCTAAGCACTACAGTGGGCAGACGAGTGCCATTCTGTGTCCCCCATGGCCCGTCAGAGCAGCTCGTAGGTGGGCCAAGCACGCCCGCTTCCTCTCAGAAGCTCTTGAGCTTTGCCCTTAGAGGTCTCTCTCTTAGCCCCTCTTTCCAGCAGCTCCTCATCACCAAGGGTGTCCCTGTGTGTGGACTGCCATTCTGTCACAGTCAATAGGGCCCCTGGACTCCCACAGCAGCCCAGCCTGCCTCGCAGTCATGACTCCCAAACCTGTGCTCCTGGACCATACCCAGCCCTCCCATCTTTGCAGAGAACTTCTCTGGGATCTACTGCAGCCTTCTGCCTCTGGGATGCTGGGCGGCGGATAGCCAGAGGGTGGTTTTTGACTCAGCTCAACGCAGCCGGCAGGTAAGGGTCCCAGGGCCTGGGGTGTGGTGTTGGACACCCCTGGCTGGAATGCCCAGCCACCCCTTAAGGCCCAGTCTGCCCTATCTTGAATCACTTCTTGAGGGGACTAGCTGCCCCTCTGCCCCACAATAGAGCCTTGGCCTTCCTGCTGAGGCAGACATGCGACCCCTTGGGAATTTCCAGCTGGGAGACAAGGAGGTGCCACAGGGTGGGCCCCTGAAGACTATATGAGGAACTGATTGGTGGGGATGGGACAGAGCCTTCCTGGGGCAGAGGCACTCAGAGAATGCCAGGTTTCTTTAGGGTGTGGTTGGATTTGGACTTAGACACAGAGGCACTCCTTGCTTTGCCCAGGATTACTCAGCAGTGCACAGGGCTGGGATCTGAACCCAGGCCCTCGGGCCGTTGCCCACAGCACAGTCGTGTTGGCTATACAAGGGGGTCCAGGAAGGCAGAGAGGAGGTGGGGCAGGACCCATAGGGCGCCTAGGTGTGTGCCACATGCAGCCTCCCCTCTGCCTCAGGACCTGTTTGCTGTGGACACCCAAGTGGGCAGTGTGACCTCCCTGACGGCTGGTAAGTGCGCTGGCCAGGCCAGCGTGGGGCCGGAACTCAAGAAATGGGGGGCAGCACTAACTGCTGCAGCCTACTGACGGCTTTGCAAAGACCTTACGCCCACAGGACCCTTCCTCAGCCAGCAGAGCCTCCCTGCTCAAGTCTGTCCGTACATCCTGTCGCCAACTCAGCTCCTGCTCCTCAGACTCACAGAACTCTCTTGCCAAGATCAGTTGGCCCACTCCCTGCACCTTAAGTCACTGTTTCAGGCAGCCATAACTCTGCCACCCGAGGGCAGAAGTTCTGTGTTGACGCACTGACCTTCCTCTCCACCTGTCCTGGTGACTACCCCTCAAACATGATTTGAGTCCTCCACCTGCCCTTACTAGTGTCAATCCTCCATAAAGCTACCAAAGTTTTGTTCCCAGGCAACAGCTCACCACACTGCATGGACCCGCTGCCCAGAATTAGCTCTCCTACCCCTCTGGGTCTAGCTGCTACCTCTGCAGACTGTGCCACTTGGCCTGGTGTGTCCCCAGAGCCTGCATTTCCTGGCCACAGTCAACATCTGCTGGATGAGCACACCGAGCAGAAGACACCCAGAGCCATGTATAGCTGGTGTCTGATGGTCTCCGTGGGGTCCCTTTGCTTCTCAGGCCGGAAGGGGCAGCCAGGGACTCTGTCTTCTGCAGGGATTACGCAGGAAAGGTGACAGCCCCTGCCAGAATCTTAGTGGCATCTCCCTTCTCCAGGGGGATCAGGTGGCAGCTGGAAGCTGCTGACGATTGACCGGGACCTCATGGTGGCACAGTTCTCCACTCCCAATCTGCCCCCAAGCCTGGTGAGTGTCAGGAGACAGGGGTTCTGTGCAGGCAGACATCCACAGGTCAGAGAAGTGGCCCCAAATCAGGGCTACTTAGCATGGGAGAGCCCAAGATGGACCAACCCAGCATGGCCCACAAGGGTCTGGCACCCACAGGGATAACCACTGGGCTAGAGTCTGGACTGCGGAGAGTGCCCAGTTCTTTGGCTGAACAGTGTAGGAAGACAGTGGAGCCTAGAAGCTGCAGAGGGAGGGAGGGTGCGGTATGTGCGTGTTTGTGTAGGCACCTTTGTATATAGCAGCTCACCACAGGCGTCCATCCTGTACTCTCGGAGGTGGAGAACATACCCAGCATAGAAAACACTACCCACCTGCACCCCCGGACAGAGGTGGGAACGTGGGGAGGGAGCCAGTCTGCCTATAACACAGTCTTTCCCCTTGGCAGAAAGTTGGGTTCCTGCCTCCCGCAGGGAAGGAGCAGGCAGTGTTATGGGTGTCCCTGGAGGAGGCCGAGCCCATCCCCAACATCTCCTGGAGCATCCGGGTACTGCAGCCACCCCCAGAGCAAGAGAATGCGCAGTATGGTGAGCTGGGCTGGGAGCAGAGGGACACCTTTGCCAGTTCTCCAGCAAGTGGCTTTTATCAGTCACCTGTCCTGCTTCCTGTCACATTGTGGGCTTTCTTGGGATTACCTCAAATTGGTTTTCTCTTCCTCATGTGGAGAGTCATGGGGAGTAGTGTCCAGGAACCAGCTAGTGTATCAGAGCTGGGCACCACCAGACCAAGTAATCTGTGGTGGGAAGACCAGGGCCCAAAGAACATAGGCCTGGTGTGAGATCTCTGTGACTACAGAGATTTCTGCAGGAAATACTGTCAGAAATGGGGCTCCCTTACTAGGGCAGAAGGAGTATGGCCTCCTGGGGTTCCTGTATAGGCTTCCTTGGCCAGTTTCTACAACTGAGGCCTTGCTGGGAAACCCTGGGCAGTAGCACTGGCCCTGCTGACTGCTCTCTCCCTGCAGCTGGACTCGATTTTGAAGCAATCCTTCTGCAGCCCAGCGACTCTCCAGATAAGACCCAGATGCCCATGGTGGTCATGCCGCATGGTAAGCATCTGGCTTAAGAGCCCATGGCCTCCTACGCCCCCTTTCCTAGCTGGCTCTTTCACCCTCTACGCCCTGTCCACAGGGGGACCTCATTCTTCCTTTGTCACTGCCTGGATGCTGTTCCCAGCCATGCTTTGCAAGATGGGCTTTGCGGTCCTACTCGGTGAGGAAGCAGAGCCCCGAGGTGCCATTGGAGTGTGACGCGTAATGAGGGGGTCTGGTTTCTACATAGGCCGTGGGTTCCACCCTAGCCTGCAAGCTTCTCTGTAACCGAAAGCTGATAACTGCTGCTAGAAACTGCCCTGGCCCAGCCCTCCATGGCGTGGTGTTAACATGGGACTTCCAGGGAAAGTGTGCTGTGCTCACTGGGTAGCCTCCAGCTCCTGGCCCCTTCCCCTTGACAGTTGTGGTGCAGCTGGCCCCAGCCTACTTCACAGGTAGGTCGGTAAAAGAGCGCTCAGGAGACTGCAAATGTCATTTGACTTCTGTCTGGTCCCTCCCTCCAGTGAACTATCGTGGCTCCACGGGTTTTGGCCAGGACAGCATCCTCTCCCTCCCAGGCAATGTGGGCCACCAGGATGTGAAGGATGTGCAGGTAGCAGGGGCTGGGGCTTTTCAACAGGCTGGGGTGGGCTGCGGTAGATGTGGCTGCCTTCAGGTGGGCAGGCAGCTGGCTGCAGTGCTCGCCCCTCCCCCCCGCCACAGTTCGCAGTGGAGCAGGTGCTCCAGGAGGAACACTTTGATGCAAGTCGAGTGGCCCTCATGGGTGGCTCCCATGGTGGCTTCCTGTCCTGCCACCTGATTGGTCAGTACCCAGAGACATACTGCGCCTGCGTGGCACGCAACCCAGTGATCAACATTGCCTCCATGATGGGCTCCACTGACATCCCTGACTGGTGAGTGTGCCCACAGGCTCTGGCCTTTCCCCTCTCCCTCTGTACCTCCGTGGGCGCTGGGGCTGCATGAGCTCAGTCTCTTACAGGTGCGTGGCAGAGGCCGGCTTCCCCTACAGCAGTGACTGCCTGCCAGACCTCAGTGTGTGGGCTGAGATGCTGGACAAGTCCCCCATCAAGTACACGCCTCAGGTAAGCAGGCCCCGCCCTGCCCTGTGTGCAGCCGCGTGTCTAGAGGACGAGGCCCTGCTCAGCGCCCTTCCCCACGCCCCCAGGTGAGGACACCTGTGTTGCTGATGCTGGGCCAAGAGGACCGGCGCGTGCCATTCAAGCAGGGCATGGAGTATTACCGTGCCCTCAAAGCCCGGAATGTGCCTGTTCGGTGAGTGCAGCACGGCCGCCCCAGCAGCTGGTGGGTAGGTGTGCACGAGGGAACCCTCCAACACTGCTCCCCACTCCTGCAGGCTCCTGCTCTACCCCAAAAGCACCCACGCACTGTCAGAGGTGGAGGTGGAATCGGACAGCTTCATGAATGCTGTACTCTGGCTGCGCACACACTTGGGCGGCTGAAGCCCCGCCTCACCGCATGCGTTGGTTGGCCTTTGTCACACTTTGCTCCTGGAACGCCCCAGGGCCTGGCAGAGTGGCCCCCGGGCTCTTGACCCCATGGATGGGTAGCCAAGGCTGGCAGGCTGTACGGTCATAATAAAGGAGGACACAGAGTCTAGTTGAAGACTTGGTACCAAGGCACCTCTAACCCAGCCCCACTCTTTGGGGACTCTGCCTAAACGTGGCAGCCACAAGGAACCATCTTCCTCCAGTTCGAGAGGACAGCTGCTGTCTGTCCTGGCCACCAGGCGAGCTTGAGCTCTGCATTACCCCTCGCCTGACAGTATGTCTAGGGCACCGGTGAAGCCTCCCTGCCCTTCCACGGCACCCACAAACTGAGGCAGTGGTAGGGTTAGATCACCCAGCCCAGGATGCGCTGGGTTTAAGCCCTAGTCAGGAATTGCCAGCTCATTCTTTAGCAGCACAGATTAAGAAGCACCCAGCACAGGCGGAATAGGAAAGGTGGCTTTATGGCAGACAGGAACTTCATTCTCCCCAAGGCCCATGAAGTTGAGGCCAGGCTAGCCCAGCCTCATGACCTTGTGAATCCAGTTTGTATACACAGAGACACGAATAAAGATGGCTGGCCAGCCTCGCCGGGCACACACTCGATTGGGGATTATAATTCCCTCCAGGACCCAGCAGTCGTGAGTAAAGCAGGCAAGTGGGCCCCCGTAGTCACCCTGGTAAGTGGGAGAACTGGTGAGGAGGGCCCGGGCCATGGCGGTGACCCTTGGGAGTGGAGTGGCCCCTTTCCAGCTTCCCACACAGCAACTGTGGCACTGACCTCACAGGCCCCCACAGGGGCCATTAGCCCTTCAGTGCACATCTCAGTCTCGAGTACCCGTCCCCGGTGCTTGATGTTGCATTCTTGGTTGGAGATGACGTTCAGTGTGGCCACATTTAGGACCTGGTTGTTTCCGATACCTATAGAGAAGGGGGTGGGGAGGAGCGCGCCTTTGGGTTGGTGCCAAGGCTGGGCTTTCGGGCCTGGCGGAGTCGGAGCCCTGCACTGTGCTCTCACCTTGGGTCTCGCCCCAGCCTGCAATCTCACACTTGGTCCCTGGAGGCACCACATACCGCTCAGGAGGCAGGCAGATCAGGGCCACTTGCTGGCTCAGAGTCACAGGTCTTTAGCAGGAATGAGGGCACTCAGGGCCTGAGGCTGCATCGCCTAACCCCGCCTCACACCCTCTTGACGGCCACTCACCTCTCCAGCTTGAGCAGAACTAACTGGGAGCCTGATGGCCCGCACACCATCTTGACCACTGGGACCTGCTGCAGGCCTGGGTCCCCAGGGTGTGGGTTCTTAAGTAGGGTGCCCAGCCACACCTCATAGCCCAGGAGAGGCACATGGCTGGGAGAGAGGTTCTGCTAGGTCAGCTGTAACTCAGACTGCAGTCCCAAGGCTCACCTGTTGGCTTGCCAGGGAAAGATGAAGGCAGGGGGCTGAGACCAGGTCCCCCAACCCAAGGGAAGCTCACCAGGAGGAAAAGCACTGCCGAGCAGTTAGTACCCACTGCTCCTTCACCAGGGATCCGCCACAGAAATGCTGGCCCTGCCTGGAGGAGTGAGGGTTAGAAGAGGGTCAGTGAGTGAGTCCTGGGGCACAGGCAATACCTGCATCTCCTGGCCAGACTTCTGTGGCCTGCGACAGGTCTGCCACCGGCCTGCATAAGCACAGAAGATGCCCTCCATTCTCTCTAGAAGACACAGGCAGTTGTATCTCACCGGTTGCGCAAGCTGACTGTCCAGGGTGAGCGCCCAGGCTGGCCCCCTACCACACGCAGCTTAGATTGCCACAGGCTCTTGCTGTCCACTTTCTTGCCACACTTCTCAAACAGCACCTGGTCTGTGTCATAGGATAGACAGGATGAAACGAATGCATGGACAGAGAGGTGGCAAAAAAGCCTCGATCCATACCTGACCCGCGTCCATACCTGGGGGCTCCAGGATGGATGGTGGTTGGTCCTTATCTGGAAGACCCAAGTTCACCCAGGTTAAGGGAGCCGTCATTGACAGCGCAGCTTGTGGGCCGGGTAGGGGGTTGCGTCCGGTGCTCACCACAGCGCTTTAGTGCACAGTAGTCGAATGGCGTAAGGGGGTCTGTAGTGTAGCACCAAGGCCCATGGCTGTCCCCATCAGGGTTCCGGCAGAAGTTCTCCTCCAGGTGAGCATGGGGGGCAGAGGTGGGCGTGAATCTAGAAGGGAGGGATCGCAAGGTCGGACTCACACCAGTCCCCACAAGGCTCCAGTTTGAGAGGGCACAGGGTGCCACCTCAGGGTTAAGCCCAGAAAGGGTCTGCGGCTGTGGTCCGAGGGCCAGGTGTGCTGCTGGACTCACTGTGGCTTGTGTGGCGCCTCTGCGGACCAGTGCTGGCACGGGACACCCTTGCGGGTCTTGCTGACTGAGCCGCGGTATTGCTTCCCTACCCCATAGTAGCAGTCTGGTGGGCAGACAAGAGGGTAGGCGGCAGCTGCCAGCAGGCACAGTCCCTGCGCCAGCCCTCCTGCTCCAAGCCCCCAGCCCCGGCTTGGTCTTACCCTCTGGCCGCACGTCGTCCTGGCAGCGCCGGATCTGGTAGCAGAAGGCCATGCGCATGCCAGGCCGCGCTGTGAAGCACCACGGTGCCTCTGAGCCATCAGGATTCCGGCAGAAGTTGTCTCGAAGGTCCCTGAGCAGGTCCCTTGGTCTCCATGAGGGTCCCCGTGCACCAGCCCATGGGCGGCCAGCCTCGATCTGGAGCCCAGCCTCCTGCCCCCCAGCCCAGCCCCAGGACCACCCTCCTCTGGTCCCCCTCCAGCTGGCCCCTCTCCACCTCACTTGCATGCGTATTTCTCTGGCGTGAAGCGATGCTGGTGTGGGTACTGCGCATCCCAACGCTGGCACGGCACGCCCGCGGCCGTGGTGTTGGCCCTGCCTCGGTAGTCTTCGCCCTTTCCACGAAAGCAACTGAGCGTTGTGGCTTTTTGGCGCGGCTGTGCCTCCGACCCTTGGATGGATCCCAAGCAGGACTGAGCCCCTGGCTGGGACTGAGCCCCGTTCTCCCTGGTCCCTGTAGTCCTTTGGGTGTGTTCTCAGCCCGCAGCCACCACAGCGGGTCGTGCCCGGCCCCTCATCCTCTCCAGCCAGGCCTCCTCGCATGTGCCAGGTGCCCACGGAGACTGCCCTAGCGCCTACCGCAGTGAGGGATGTTGCAGAACTCTCGTTTGAGCTTTGGGTCGGTGGTGTAGCACCAGGGCCTTTCGGAGCCATCAGGATTCCGGCAATAGTTGTCATCCAGGTGTTTGTCAAGGAACCTAGGGAGTGGTGGCGCGACGTGAACAAGACCCTGGGACTCAGGCCCTGTCTGACTCCAGCTAACTGCCACTGTTCACGGGGCCTTCACAGGAGTCCCGCCCAGCCCCCAGCCCCGCGTACTTGCTGGGTTCGAAGGGGTGCGGGTGCGGGTGCTGCAGGTCCCAGCGCTGACACTCACGTCCTGACTCAGTGTGGTCGACTGCTCCACGGTAATCTTCACCATTGCATCGGAAGCAGGCAGCTGGGGGAGCGGGGTGGGGGGGAGTCGTGGGAGTGTACGGACACAGCCCACTCACCCAGTCTCAACCCAGAGCTACTCACCGTCCCGACAGGACTTGATGCCGCAACTCTGGAAGCGCACAGCAGAGTTTGTAGTGTAACACCATGGGCCTCTGGGGTCCCCGTCAGGGTTGCGGCAGAAATTTTCCTCCAAACCATTCCGGGGTGTGGGTGTGTACCTGGGAGCAGAGAGCTACACTGCAGTGCCTGCTGGGGGCAGACCTGGGCACGGTGTGGATCGAAGATGTTTGCCTCACTTGTGGTCATTGGGGAACTTGTGGCTCCAGTGCTGACAGGGTAGGCCACCTGTGGTGATGGCCACGGTTCCCCGGTACTTTGCTCCATTGTCCATGATGCAGGTGCGCACATAGTCTGGGAGCAAGAGACAGATGGTTATGGTGGCCTGAGGCCCTAGCTCCCCTGAACCCTGCCCTACCTTCCTCCTGAGTCACTTGCCTTTCTTTTGGAAGAGGTCACAGCCTCCTGAATGCTGCAGTCGTATATGAGGTGAGTGTTGTGTCCATGGCAACAATTGGCAACCCTGGCTACTCACATTGTAGTGGAAGGCCCTGGGAGAAGGCAGAATCACCCAGGGCCCAGATTCCCCTGCCCCCAGTCTTTCTAGGTCCCATGCCAACTCACCTGCAGTCCAGCAGGGACCTGCAACGCCTTGCGCACTCCTCAGCATCTGCCGTGTCTTCTTGCCAACGCCCAGGCTCCACTACATGTAGCAGGTGCTGCAGTTCTGTACCCCGAAGCACCTGAAAATCATTCAAGGGGGAGCGCTGTCCTGTGGAGTGGGCATGTATGTCAGTGCATGTAATTGGCATTTCCACACTTTGTTCATTCAGGGGATCAAAGCAAGGAGCCCTCTGGGAGGAGCCTATGGGCACACTCAAGGGTCAGACCTTTGCATGGGATGGCAAAAGCCAGATTAGATATGGTAGTTACCACCAGTGCCTCTGTTTCATGGGCAAAGCACTAGGCTCAGGTCTAAAACATACACTCTGTGAGAGCAGTGGGTGGTGGTGTTTACCCTATAGAGCTGGTCCCACCTCATCTCAGATGAGAGTATTAAGGCACAGGGCTGTCACACTATCCGAGCCGAGGCCCAACGTCTGGCATTCTGACTCCTGGTCTGGGATCTCACTGGCACGAGGGCATGTGCAAGGTTAGAGGGTTAGCTCAGACTGCGTGTGTACGTGCCCGTGCGAGCCAGCCCTGACTCAGTACGACAGTAGACACCTAACAGGCCTGAGTAGGCAGGGTGCATATGTTGTCTCAGGAGGCCCAGCTCTGCGCAAGAAGCCAAGGTCATCACCATGCTCGGTAGGACTCTGAGCTCAAACGCAGGATGGAGCCAACCTCTTCCTGAAGATGGATGGGAATCAGGGGCTTTGGGTGGAGGGGCTGGGCACTTACCAGGGGCCTCTGAGCACTGGGTCAGAAGCAGAAGAAGTGGGAGCCACCCCATCCTCCTAGCTGGAGGTTGCACTGTGACCCACCACAGCCCCATCCGGGAAGTTGTGAAACTTGTCCCTATGGGATTGGGTGGCTCTGGTTCCACACCCCCATTCTAGGCGGCCTGCTGGGGCCTGACCTGAGACCCAGTGGCAGGAATAGGGGTGGGGCTAGGCCTCAGTCCCCTGGGTGAGGCGAAGGTCCCTTATTCTGGCACAGCCAGCCTCTGCCCTATTGGGCAGGTGTTGGGAAGTTTCGGTAGGGGTACTTGAAGGGGGGAGGAGATAGAAGCCCCCTACAGCCTAGCTTGCTCTAAAATGCAGAACAGTGTGGGCATGGGTGTAGAACCCAGAAGGTGGTGATAAACTTTTTTGAGGCTCAGCTTTTCCTTGTAAAGTGAAATGCACCCTAACACAGCCTGCCCCTTTGACTTATCAGCTGTTGGCAGGTTGGCCCACGCCCCTAGCAGCAGAGCCCAGAGGGGCTGCCCTCGCCCTGCAGGAGCCATTTCAGAGAAGGCGAGTGAGCCACCCGTCTGCCTGAAGGTGGGGTGACAGGTAGCAGGGGACGCTAGCAGGAGCGGGCCTTTCAGATTTCCTACGGACACCGGACCGGGTCTTCAAGCACAGGTAGGAACTGAAACCAGCGGCCTGGGGCCTGTGATTAAGACGCTGCTTCCGGACACCCCTAGAGACGGTTGGGCTGTCGGGTGAGCCCGACTCGGGAACAACCCAGCGGGACGCCGTGGAGGGGGCGGGGCTTGGCGGGCGCCGCGAGGTGGCCTTGCGCGTGCGCGGCGGGCGCGCCGTTTGGCCCCGGACGGGCGCCGTAGCGGAGAGGCTGGGCGGATGTTGTGAGCCGGGACTCCGCCGCGAAAGTGGGGTGAGTGAGGGGCGACCCGGCCCCAGGCGGGGCGGGTCCCGGCGACTCGGATCGCGTCCTCGCCGGCCCAGTGTGAAGGTGCACGCCGCGTGGGGTCGCAGCCTGCGGTGCCGGACGCCGGGCTGGATCTGGCCTGGAGGATCCTCTGGAGCGTGGGGCCAGGCAGGGGCGACTTAGGGACGCTGCCCTCCACGTCCTTGGGTACCGAGATGGGGTCGGTTTGGTTCCGAGCCGCGATCCCTCCTCTGGGCTGGATGGGATGGTCGTGGTGGGATGCCACCAGCGAAGTCTAGGTCCACCTCTCACCTGGTGCTCCGCACCTGACACGCTGGAGTATGTGTGTGGAAGGTTTGCTGATCAAATGAGTGACCACCTATTATCTGTCTTCACCGGCTGGGGGTAGTGAGGAAGCAGCAGTTAGGAGCCCCTTCTGAGGGCCGGCAGGGCAGGGCGGGAAAGTCACCTTCCCTAGGGGCTGGAAGGGTGCGGGCCGTGAATGGGCAACAGTGTGTTGCGGAGCTGAGGATCTGTTCAGGGTAAGATAAGAGGCTGTGGAGAGGGTAGTGCTGTCTTAAGGCCAGGTCTATTGGACAGGCAGGCGCAGTCTAATAGAACTTTGGGCGCTGTGCAATAATTCTATATTTTCGCTTCCTAGCACATTAGCCACTAGTTACATGTGGCTATTGAATCCTTAAATGTGGCTTATATAACTTAGGGATGGGACTTTTAATTTTTTTAAACTTAAACTTTTAAATAGCCACACAGACCCGGTAGCTACTTGTTGGTCGCTAGAGCTCTGGTTGCTGAGGCCGACACCAATGAGTTAGTGTAGCTTCTGAAGCAGCTGCAGCAGCACCATGTGTGTGAGGGATGGATGGCAGTGGGAAGACCAATGGGCTCTTGCGGTGAGGGTTGGGCAGAGTTGTGTTCTGAGGGGCGGAAGGCTGTGTGGGAACAGAAACTAGCAGGCCTTTGGTTCAGAGAAGGAAGGATCCTGGTGCTGATAGAAGAGGTCCTGCCCCCAGCAGGACTTGGAGCTGGAGATATAACCAAGTCCTCAGATGCTTGGTCTGCACTTGGGGGAATGTGGTCGAGGGGTCTCTCCTATAAGATATGAGCCCAGAGTGGCTTACGGGTGAGAGGTCTGCAGGGGCTTGGCGTCTCTTCCACCACATCACTTGGGACCCTTTGGTTTGATTTCCTCATATTTGGTTTGGTTCAACAAACATAATTGTGGCTCCTGCTCAGCCCTGTGCTGAGCACTGGGACATGGGGGGCCGGTCACCTGGACCAGACCCCTCCCACCGTCCAGGTGTAGGAAGCTGGAGGCCCCAGTTTTCCTTTGCTCTGGGTTTGTGTGTATGTGAGTGCGTGCTCTGGCCTCTGCTCCCGCACTGGGGTCACTGTGGAGGCTGTTGGCTGACTTTAATAGACAGTTGCTGCTTTGGCTCAGCCCCTAGGACCACTGGCTGCCCACAAGAGATGAAGGATGGCATCCAGGGGGGCCGGCATGTCTTTCTCCCGCAAGAGCTATAGGCTGACTTCAGATGCTGAGAAGTCCAGGGTCACAGGTAAGGAATGCTAAGTTAAGGGGAGGCCCCTTGTATGCGGGAGGAAGGGGGCGGCACGGGCAGCACAGTTCCAGGGCAGTGAGCCTCAGGCCTCATACATGAGCCCCCTCCTCTCCAGCCAGCAGCCAGATAACACTCAACCCAGTGTGCCTGCGGCTGACCTGCCGCCAGGAAACTTTGGGACCAGCAGTGGCTGGACAGGGAGCTGCCCTGACCACATGCTCCTTTCCTCTTTCCTGACCTGTGTCCCAGGCATTGTGCATGAGAAGCTACTAAATGATTACCTGCATCGCATCTTTTCCTCTCCTGACCATGCACCCGCCGCAGCCACCAGCAGGTATGTCCAGGTGGGTCGTTCTTTGGGGCCAGAGCCTGGAGGCTGCAACTGTGGGGAATAGGCTGACTGGACTCTCACTTTGATGCTTCTGGCTCTAAAACACATCTGGCCAGAGTCTGCTGCCTCGATTCCACATCGTCACTTTCCCAGTAGTGCTAGCACCATCCTGCTGGGTGTGGTGGAGGCAAGAGAGCACCAGGCACGCATTCCGCACTCAGCGTCAGTCCTCTGCTCCCGCCCACACCTCTGCCCCGCTGGCCCTCTGTCACCTCTGGCTGCCTCTGTAAGGGCCAGACTGGCCTCTTTCTGTGTAAGTTTAATGCATGTTAGTTCATATCTAAGTTCCAAGTGCACTTTAGTGGGAACTTAGAAATTGAAGAAGAAAAAGCAACCGGCCATTTTATTCTTCTAACATGACCTTATGCAATTCCTTTCTGTTGTTGTTGTTGTTTTTAATCTCACAGTGTATCCTACAGACTATGTGTTAATACAGGGCTGTATGAACTTTTTTTTTTTAGTTTCTGTTAGCTTCAGTTCTTGAAAAGAAAGGTAATTGACATTCACTGAAGCACATGTTTATAAAGTGTGCAGTTCAGCAACTTATAGGATAAGCTGTGAAACCATCATTGCCATCAAAAACAAAGACCATATATACCCACACTTCCAAGTCTGTGAGAGTTTTAGTCCTTTTTTTTTTTTTTTTGGTCAGCAAGCATGACCCCTTAGCGTTTTCCTGCATTATTGGTTGATCTTAGGGTCCCCACAGACTCCAGGAATGGAGGGGCTTTTGCTTTTATAAACAGTGTTGTGAGGATGCCCAGGGTTGGAATCCTGTGGCTGGAAGATTACAGGACATTTGAACACTGAACTTTTAAGACTGTTGCAAGACTGTTACTTCTTCAAAGATCATGAACTTTCCCCCTCCCTGCCCTGTCTCTCAGCCCCTCGCCAGCCTAGGCTCTTCCTTCTTTCACAGTCTGGGGGGTGGCACAAAGGGCAACATTGTTGTCTGCTGTGGTAGCCAACCAGTTCTTGCTTTTAGAGGGCTGCTGCCCACCCGCCCCAACCCCAGCCCTGGCCTCTTACCAGGGCCATCTGATCTCTACATCATGTGATACCAGAAATGGTCCTGCTGCTGCTGGAGCTGTGGCTGCCAGGAGGGAGAGCAGGTGGCAGGCGCCCAGTCAGTGCGGTGCAGATGCAGCGCCCTGACTTGGGACTCGGGAAGTCCAGAAAGGGCAAACCAGTGCCGGGGTGGGCCAAACGGCTGGTACTGCAGGCCGCAAGGTGGCTGAGTCTCCACTGCCCACCTGCCCTCCCACAGCCCCTGTGGGCCACAAGCATCAGACTAGCTAGCCCTCCCTAACAGGACCAGTAGGACCTGCTTCAGGGACCTGCTTATCCTGGACCTGTGGGCGTAACCAGCGATCTGGTTGGCCTGTAACTTTCCCTGCTGCTGCCTTGGCGCCCTATTGCTAGGCTGCCACCTGGAGCAGGGTTGAGGCTTCATGCTTTTCCACCTCCTGCAGCTCAGGTTTAGTAGTAAAACAGCCGGGGAGCATGTGGTCGCCGAGCCTGGGTAGAAGCCCATCTACATTCCTGTCCAGCGCCCACCTCTAGATAGATGCACAGGGGAGGAACTGGCCTTTGAGGCGCACTAGCTGGTTTTAGGAGTCTGTGGCCTGCATCCTGCTGGCCATCAGACCTCTGGTCTGCCCAGAACTGCTGGTTCCCATCCCCTCCCCCCTGCCATTCCCTGCTATTCATAGCAGCTGAACTCAGGACAGAGCTGGCCAGCATTAGACAGAGCCCTTCCTCCTTCAGGCATGTGTGCTGGGAAGATGAGGGTGTCCCTGAGACAGATTTTCCCAGCCATGTGCTCCAGCACAGGACAGGACAGCTGTTACCTCCAGGTAAACAGGACAGAGCCAGCTGGTCAGAGGCCTGAGCTTTCACACTGCCAGGGCATGTTTGGTTCAACATACACATTCCTGGACTGGGCCCCAGACCTGGAGTAAAGGGCTGGACTAGCAGTCCTTGGTACTCTCCACTTTGGGGTTGGCATTTCTCCCCGCCTTCTTCTCCCAGATGTAATCAACATTTTCCCCACTTTGAAAGTGGACAAGTTACAGTCTCTCTAGGGAGCATGCATCATTCTGGGAATTTTCATGGCTTCGCTGACATACAACTGCTGAACCCTTTTTATAGATGACGGAATTAAAGCCTAGAGGGCTCTCATTTTTTTTTTTTTAGAAAAGTTTATTTTTACATCATTTTGTACATTTTTTTTCCCATCTCAATTGTAATCCCTGCTGGTTTCCCATCACCAAGTCACCCATGTGAGAGGGCTCTCATTTTTTTCTCAGTCCTGAGGTGCACCAAATTGGACTAATCACAGTTTTTAGTTTATCAAACAAGTTAGTCTTCTGAGCTCCAGCATAACGGAACCTAGACCAGGCACAACGCTTTCTGTAGCCTGGGGCGAGGGGAGCTCAAGAGGGGCTGAGTGTTACCTGGATGGTTTCAAGGACTTTTGGGCCCCTCGCAGCCTCTCGCTCTCCTCAGGAAACCTCTGAACTTCCAGAACCTACCAGAGCATCTGGACCAGCTGTTACAGGTGGATACTGAAGATGAGGAAAGCCAGGGTATGTGGCAGGTTCTGGAATGGTATTAGGGGAATAGGACTGGGCCTTGGAAGGGGCCCTGGGGACCCTCGTGTACCCCGTATCTTCTGCCTGACCCCTCACCTCTCTGCAGGACAGGTTGAAGGACGCCTTGGCCCATCTACTGTGGTCCTGGACCACACGGGTGGCTTTGAGGGGCTTCTTCTGG